CTCTTAATAGCTCTGGTATCAAACATCGCTTTTGTCTAAATTTCTCAAGGTTTAAGAGAAAAACGTGCACGTGTTTTAAAAATATAAAAAATTGGTACGCAGTGCGTACATGTTGCATGCCATCTGAAAACTTATTATATACATTTATAATATAGCATTTGTAAATTCTGAACGCTGATTGGCTAAGAGCCGTGTTGATATAACTTACTGTCAACACGGAAACGTCGGAAAATTTCTTTCTTTATGTTTCCATATTATAAAACGAATATAAAAGTTTTTTCCGTATTGATATATAGTTATATCAACGCTCGTGGAAATTGGGAAAACTCGAAATTGTGTGAAAACACTCCGCCCTTCGGGCGTCGTGTTTCCACACAATTTCTCGTTTTCCCAATTTCCACGAGCGTTGATATAACTATATATCAATACGGAAAAAAGTTTTATATTCGTTAAATAAGGTATACTTTATATAAGTCAGTTCGTCGATAGTGCAATCGAGTGGCGATTTAAGACAAGCTACATTTCGCAATAAATTTCGCTAATTTGCGATTATTTTCGTTAATTAAATTTTATAATTTCATTCCAGTTTTAATTTAAATTCAGTCGTTTAGTGGGCTGCCTATGGAAAATGCTCGTCGGAAAAACTCGGTATTTGCCGTATTTCACGAGTCTGCCACGTGATTTATGACCACCGGTACGCTGACGATGGCACGATATTTAGAGCTGTATGAAAGTTGCATGCCGTATATGGCATGCAACAAAAACAACGAGAATTTACTGCAAAAACTTCAAAAACCAAAAATATTTTGGCTAAAACCAGGAAGGTGTGAAAATTGTACCGGGCTCAGAATTGATCCTAGTCAGCGGTAATTCCATCAGCCGGAGCAACCAATGTCATGGAAATGGCGACATGACGCGAAAATCCGCCATGTTTTTGCGGACACTTTTTCCGATACTAATATTATAGCTCAGTGGTCGCATCGCAAGCATTGGCATAAGATATAAAATATACTCAAGTATTTGCAGTATTTTCTGCACAATCTAGCAGTACTTCTGACAATAAACATGACTTGAACGGGCGCTTTATGAGTGAGGGCAGGGTCAAAACTCTACAAACATACCAGATAAAATCTGAAATTTGAAAGAACGTTTTGCGAAGACATCGGACAATAGTACTATAAACTCGCACGGGACGAATTTTGACAAACATTTTCAAATTAAAATATCAACAAGTCATAACGAGTGATTACGTAAATACCTTTGCCATTTTACGTGTAATAATGTATGTTTAGTTGACGCACCTTGCGAAGTTTTAAAAAAAATAAGCGAAGGGAATTTTAATGGGCTTTAAATTTTTAGCTTTATTCTAAGGACGATGTTGGCATGGTAACAGATTTCAAGCGCAAATGTAGCAAATTGCAATGTTCAGGAGAGCATTGTCAATGTGTTCAATAAATTTAGTCTGCATGTCATGTGAACTTAAAAAAGATGAGGTTCTTGGACACTAATGTGTAGTACAATACAAAAACCCTAGGGAGCCACCTTAAGATGAAGATGAGAGTTATTTTTGTGGGACAAAAAAAAATGTTTTATCAAAGAAACTTAATACCTTTGCAGTTCTTTGTGCCGTCCCCCCCGTATCCGATTTTGCATTGACAGTCGTATGAGCCTTGAGTATTGTTGCAATTTGCATTTGGGTGACAATTGAGGTTTCCATCAGAGCATTCATCGATGTCTGAAATAGTCAAAATTTTATGCTCAAATGGCTATCAATACCACACCACTCCACACCACACCACACCGCACCATACCATACCATACCATACCATACCATACCATACCATACCATACCATACCATACCATAGCTTACCTTACCACACAATATCACCCCGTACCATACAACCAGACCACATCATACCATACCATATCATACCATACCATACCATACCATACCATACCATACCATACCATACCATACCATACCATACCATACCATGCCATGCCATGCCATGCCATGCAATACCATACCAAATCATATAAAACCAAACCGAAGCAGCGCATCACATATCACATCAAACCGAAACCGGCAAATCACATACAGTACGACACCATACTACTTTATACCAAACACAACATAACATACAGCTGTTAAAAGTTATGAGAATACGCAGCTGCATGTTAGTTTGGAAGTTAGGTGCGGGTTATGCTACAATGAAAATTGAATTTCGATATTTTCGTGCCGATGTGCTAAAACTATTTTTTCAGGGAAGACTTTATACCTGAACTTTACACCAAGCAAATTACCTGAACAAACTTTACCATTTCCTGTCCAACCAACGTGGCACTGACAGTTGTATGAACCTGGAGTGTTGGTGCAGTTTGCGTTAATATCACATTCGTTAGCCAAAGCATGGGAACATTCATCAATATCTTGTAAGATTTAAAAATATGAACAAATATGTTATGTTGACAAACAAGCTAAGAGAGATTCGTAAATGAAGGATCCGACAACTAGCTACAATCAACGGACGATATCATATCTATATCCTAACCGATCGAAGAGAGTATGGCAGGAAAAATATACCAATGTATACCAGGATAATTGAATTGCTGTTCGGACTTCCGAGTGGTTATATATATTATATATTATATATAACAGAATGTTTCTTTTTCTATATCATTTAAATTAAATTAAGGTCAAAATTTCTATTATTAGAACAGACAAGCGAAGTGCGATGCCCACACTCTTACCAGCCGTTTGGAGATCCGGACAAATTATTGATTGGCTATAAGTAGATTTGGTCACGAATCAAAAGGGACTCTAAGGTAATGTAGGAGTATAAATGTATACGTTCATATCGCATATATATGCCTTCATATTAATATTATTATTGTTACCTTTTTCACAGATCTCTCCTTCGTATCCCTTCTCGCACAGACAGTTGAAAGGTTTAACTGGATCCCAGATCATTGTTCCACCATTGTGACATTCATTCACTTCTCCTCTGCACGATGCCTGCAAAATAGTTCATTGCAAGATAACATCTAAACACGCAGGTATCTATTTTACAGACCGACAGATTTAATTATCAGACAACAGACACTGTTTTTATTTTGTGTGTGTTATGTACTCAGTTGAATATGATGTTTGTGATGTTAGTCTGAGCGTACATCGGGCAAGCTGAAAAGTTAGCTTTGGATTAGTACCCCAAAGGTCGCGGGTTCGATTCACACAGTGGCCACATTATAAGACACTGTTTTGTTTACAATAGTGGATTGTTTTGTAAACCAACATTTGAATTTACTAATTCTTTTTTGGTTACATCTCAAACGCCAAATTGTTATTCCTCTGCACTGCAGTTTTATCAACCAACCCACAGATAATTCAATGATTAAATATATCAAACACAACAGTTTTATGTAAACATGTGGAACATATCCTTATGTTCAACGTATCCTCATGCCCAACTTAGTAAAAGGTCTACAATCATGTGCTAAATAAGAGTTATCAAAGCTTTACCAAACGTTTTTCCGAAAATATCTCATTTAGAACGAATTGTTAAGTAATTGGATGTATATAATTCAGATACTTGAATTCCTATCTTGGGGTATGTTTTCCCATATACAATATGTTTCAGAAATTCCCGGAATTAAAATGTTTTAAAACAGCAGTGGCCGTGGAACAGTTTTTATTGGGGGGTGGGGGAGGGGCAATTTCCATACATTTTCTGGACGTTCATGAAATGTTACAACCGATGAATGTTCTGCTCTATCATTATATTTCGCCGCAAATATTGGCGAGAAGGGGGAGGGGAGGAGGAAAATTTTCCAGGACGTAATCTAGTTCCTGTTTGATAATTTTGATACCTCGTTTAACATCTCCTTATTCTGTTTCTCTAACGTTCTAAAAGGGTGGCCCTCTTTTTTACAATTGCTCCTCTCCCCCTCTCTCGGTTCTGCCGCCTATCTAGAACAATGCAGAGCGATTCTGGTATTAATGGAAACCCTTAGTTCCCAAATTTTCTGAACAGTATATGTAATTACTTACGACCTGACGTCGGTCTGCGTTATCTTTGATGAATGTCCATACTCGCTCTTTTTTGCTAGCATTATTGTTAAATTTATGATCAGTCGTATTTGTTAATTGGCAGTTCCATTCATTCCACTCAGATTGCTGCTGGTAGTTGAATGCAACACAGAAACGATGTTCTGCGCATGCAAGGCCGCAAAACTGATACGTTAGTTCTCTCGATTGAGCGATGATGTTTGTTTTTAAACTAGGCACATCTAAAAAATATTAATGTATTTATTCTCGAGTTTCATATGACATCACGTGGGGGCCAAGGGTAAAGAATGGCTTTTATGTTGTCTATATTGTTGTATATTTGCTTTATAATAGTCGTAGAACTCGTTTACACAATATGCGTTGGCAGCATTTTGTTTTCTAGCAGTTTTTTGTTGACCTCATTTCAATGATTAAACCCCACTCGAGTCAAATTATGCTAAAATGTCACGTGATTGAATCCAAATAATACATATGTTTCTGTACAAAATTTGACACAACTTGGTTTACTTTGAGAGCCTAAGGTGTGGATGCCAAATATATTTTGTATCCGAATACAGACAATTTTTACTAACCATACTGTACTCTTCCCTCTTCTCATTGTAAGCTTATTTAGCGATTTAAATAAACTCTCCTTAGCTTCTTTCTACTCCAGAAAGCTGATATTTGGACACTGTTACCTGATATTTGTTAATAATATATTGCTTTATGGTATTATCAAGTGTGAAAAAAGTTGAAAACAAAAATAATCAAAGAACATCATAACGTCATGTTTTGATAAAGATATAATCGAAGGTCTTTTCATCTGTACAACAGAAAACGGCAACAGAAACCTGAAAGCATTATGCTTGCTATATTGTATGTATCACGCTATATTGCATATATTGTATGTTGCGAAAACTCGAAATTGTGTGAAAACACTCCGCCCTTCGGGCGTTGTGTTTCCACGCAATTTCTCGTTTTCCCAATTTCCACGAATGTTGATATAACTGTATATCAACAGAGGAGATTTCCGTCTACGCATGCGCGAGAAACATAAGCGTGGAGTGCACGTGAGCACGTGTTGATCGCGTGACTGAATTCTAAAAACAAACACCAAATTTGCCAAAACTACTCGTGTTATGAAGTCGTTTTCTTGTTTTTTTGGTGTTTCTATGCTCACAATTTTAGGCATTTTCGACTTAGGAGTGTTTGCTTTGGAATAACAACGTGAAAATAGAAATAAAAGCTTTGTTGCAGCAGTTTAATTTCGCTGTACAAATATGCCAGTTTTATATGTATATCTTTTTCGAAGTGAGATATACAAGTGCAAATTGACCTTCTATAAATTCGTACTTGTCCTATTTTTGACTCCATAAAAACTACTTTTATCCATGGAGAAACTATTTGACTTTAAAAACAAGCTAGAATTATGGAGGTGATATAGGCTAGTTTCTTTGCAAACAGTGATTCAGTGCTCGTTAGTGTACTTGTTGTATATGAAGAAAAGTCTAAAATGATTTCAACATCGATATCCATCAACAAAAAGAAATCGCGCGCGGTTATTACTACTCGTTAGAAGATAGACAAATAATTTAATTCACTAGGAAGCCGTTCTACAATGTAAATTAGAAATCGGCTAACATATTGTCACGAAATACTGCAATTAATATAGGGTCTCAAAACTACCGATTTCACCGTACGGTCAAGTTTCTCTGCAAAGATCGTCCCTTTGCCCAATTTTCATAGAGTAGATCATCGTGTTATCAAGTCAAGGATTATGTATACTTTAACATAAAAGAATAAAAAAGTGGTGATAAAGGGTAGATTTTGAATAAAATACGAATATCTGTATATAAGATCTGAGTGTTATTATGAAGCACTCGATACTTTTTCCAACAACATATTCGGCTTAATTTTTTACAAAATTAAAAATATTCACACATTAAAGATATGAAAATGTAGCTTGCATTACAAAGAAATGTTGGCTTACTTAAGCTATACCTTACACGTCGATTAAAGTCAAGTAACGCCCTTTCAAAGACGCGTGCCACATTAAACTACAGGTCACATGGCGGTAGAGAACTCGACGAAGTATTCAGGATATTTCGTAGCCAGTTTAAACGCCGGTGAGCACTATTCTTGTAAATTATGATGGCCAACACACCAGGTAACAAAATTTACCACTTTGTTCGGCTTTTCCAAGTACACTTTTAAATTACAAGGTCCGATTATACATGTTCTTCGAAGCATCTGCTCAAAACAGTCGAACATGAATATCGCCACTCATCTTCTTCGTATGAAAATATAAGTTTTCCTTTCAATTTCTTTGCTTTAAAACCAGTCATTAGGTTGTTGAAGAGTTAGCATGAAAGTTCCAACGAAAAAAAAACCCGATGCTTTCAAAAACCAATGAATCACAATGCTGTAAACTTCAACATCCTTTGAAATTGTAAGCAAAATATCGAAAAGCAAAATTTGCGGGAAAAAGCTCACGAGCCCGCACTATTTTCACGCAGCGTTGACGAAAGTCCTCTCTGTTCTGTATGTCAACAACAGGTGGGAAATTTGCTGTCGCTGGCCAGCAAATTGCGGGCGCTAGCGAAAATTTTGTTTTAAATTATAAAAATGAGCAAAAACAAGTTTTTGTTCTTCTCGTTTGGGACGAAAACTGTGGATGTGCAAGAATTTAAATTCGCTTATTTAAAGGCTGTTGCAAAATGTCCTGGATAAAAGACTTTAAACTGAATTTGGACAATTATAAACTATTTATTTCTACGACGAAATATTGACGAAATTTAACTTTTTCGATGATGCAAGTTGTTTTCACTCCCTGGACAGATGAAATTAAAAAAATAAACTCAGGTTTGGGTTGAAAATTTATTTTTAACGCATTTTTCTACTCAGATATATCTTTGGAAAGTTTATTTATGATTAAATCCTTGAAAACACTTAGTGCAAAAATCGTGATTTTGCCAAAAATAGGAAAAAGCTAAATTTTCAACTTAAGATTGTAAAAAATCTAGTCGAGAGCCGCAAAACGAGACTATCTCTAAATGATTCTTCAAAGATTTCTTAATTCATAATGCATGGGCGGTCAAGTCTCGTGATCCTGTCCAGCTTCAATGTAAACAGCTCTTAAGATCTTTTTCAGCCGGTGATTAATTGGTTCATCACTTGAACAGGTGAATTGCCATTTCGCTCAGGAAGCTGTTCTTATTACTTAATTAATATTTTACGCAGTGAATGTCAATATAGCGGACACTATCTGGTAACTCACAAGTTTATTCTTTTGGTGTATTCAGTAAGACTTCAAATTTGAATCAAGTCGTGATAATAGTAACATTAGAAGAAAATTTTATGATGGCGATATTTTTTCTTAGCAATGAGACGATCAATATATTTAATAAAAAGTACGACTTCTCTTGAATTATATTATTGATTAAAAGCATAATGCATCCTGTACAGAATATCTATTTGGTTTTAATCAATAGTTATTTCATTTCCTGTTTTTCATATAGGCTATTTTTCTTTTGACCTAGTTTAGTATGAGCAATTGCTATTCACGTTAAAAGCTAATTACAGCACTTTGTTATAACTGTCAGTAAAATAATGCATGTGAACTCATTAGTTAAACAAAAATAACACAGGTGACGCTAACTTAATGACTTACAAGGCGGTTTCCATGGTTTATGGTCGTAACGGTCGTAAAGATTGAGTCACCATCTTTCTCATCAGCCGAAATACAACATTTTAGAATAGAAAATAACCGGAGTGATTATAACTCGATAATACTTATAAACTATTATAAATTGGTCGTTAAGAAAAAATATCGTGACTCTATTTTTACGATCATTACGACCATGCATATCGAAACCAGGCTTCAATGGCATGTTTTGTGTCTCATTCTTTAGAAAAGATATTCTTAATTAATTTTTATAATCAACCAATCCCAAAACCTCAATGTTCAGATAGATGTAAGGGGCGAATCTTGATCATCGATGAGATTAGGACAAAAGCTGATCAACTGTATTAGGATATTAGGTATTTTATAAATTATTTGTAATTATATAGGCATGCAACGTCAGACGTTCTGCAGGCAGTTTGTCGAAATTTGCCTTTGAAACTATGCATGAATGTTACTCGCGTATAAGCAAAGTAAGATAATGATATGCTATAGCAGTTTTAGAGCACTGAATTAAAAAAATATAGAATATTCGTGATAGAATTTTGCGTCAAAGTTGAAAAAGTTGACAGGCGAGTTATTTACCTCCCATGTTACAACAGATAAGTTTTTGGATGGATTAAATTTCGATCTGTTTTAGTTTCGCCCATGTATACCAATGGTTTACGGGAATTCTAATACTGCATCAATTTAAGATGAACTGTAAGGTATATTATACTATACTGACCAACATGCACGGCTATCATTTAAAACAGTCAACAAGTAAACCTACCAAACTGAGTCTTATGAAACTGTATATTGTTGTACTGAATACATTCAATTACTAGTACATCATGACGATATAGAACCTATCCTACAAACGTTTTCACTCGTTTTGAAAACTCTCCAGGGATGAAGTGATCCTGAAGATTGTTCCCCACTCGCAACAAAACGTTGAGATGTAAAGCTGACTTACCCCAACGTATCACAGGAAACGGGTGATCGGGGTTACTCTCATAATCGACGTAAATGCTTTCTTCTGCTGTGGCAAGATGAAGTTGCAGGAACAACACCAGAATTCGCAACGTAAACATCACTACAAAAACGATGTTCATATGGTATTCTAAATGGCTGTAGATTATTCGGTGTAACTAAAAGTACAAATAATTAATGACCCCCAACCCCCTCTCGAATGAGGCATGCGTAAATCATGACTGCATCCTGTAAAATATACCTGTCATTATATTAAGCCGGCTATGTTGCCAAGTGCGTGTTTTAAAATACAACGTAACTAAAATATGTAATTTTGCTATTTTCAAATTTGTTTTTGCTGTACTGTTTCTCATATCCAAAGGCTAACACTAATGATAATATTATTACAATACTTTCCTCGATATGTATGCACGTATGGAAGTATGAGAAATTATCTTGCAAGTTTTGCATGTTATAATGTAAATTTTATACACAGCAGCGAATTTGTAGCCATGGCAAACGATGATGATCATGGTATGCTAATAAAACTGCGTCTAAATTGGTCAATACATTTCCCAAGGTTTCAATGATGCAAATAATTAAAAATTTGCGTAGCACGAGCTGCCGCTATATGAATATAATCAAAGCCTCACCACTGTTTATACAATCTTGCAACTTTATACCAACAAGTTTAGGAAGCATAAGATGAAAAGAAAAGCGACGATTTATATATAGCTCAAGGAGCGGTATGTGATATACACTTCTGCGTTCTCCACAATCTCCTAATACTTTATATTCGCTGAGATTTCAAAATTAAAATATTCATATTTTCTATATCAATAGGCTCCATCTTTGAACAGATATGCTTTAACGAACAGGATTAGCAAAAACATGCAATTTATAGCGGAATATTAGAGACCATTGGCAAATTTGGCCTTTCCTATATGTAGCAAAATAACGATTTTTGCACCAATTTGTGTTTTCAAGGATTTACAGTCGATTTCACGAAGCTTTGACTACATATGTTGCGAACTTGGTTCCGATGTTCGCAAGTTCGTTGCGACTTTGGGAAGTTCAAATTGGAATTCACAAGCCAATGTGTAAACAAAGTCCCTGATCGGTCCCGCGCAAGTTAAAGAAGCCAATCAAATGCACAGTTTACAAACTGGTTTGTAAACCTCATTATGACCTTTTGAACTTCGCAACGCACTTGCAAACTTCGCAACGAAATTTGGAACATTAGCGGTCGAAGTTTCATAAATCGACAGTAATCATATAAATAAACCTTCTAAAGGTATTATTTAGTCTTTCAATTTCATCTGTACATGGAGCCAAAACAACTTGCATCTTCGGAAAAAATTAAATTTTGTCAGTATTTCGCAGGAGAAATAAATATTTAAGGTCTTTTATTCAGAACTTTTTGCACAAGCTTTGAATAAATGAATTCAAATTCTTCCAAATCAAAATTTTCCTAAAAGAAGCTCAAAAAATTGTTTTTGCTCATTTAAAAAAAAAATTGAAATAATTTTTCGTCAGCGCCCGCAATTTATTTCTAGCAACACAAAATTCCCACCTGTTCTCACAATTACTTCCCCATATCAAGTAACCAGCTGTGTCATTAATATTATTTAGTGTTCGCTCATACTGGGATGATTTGTCTCTTAAAAATACATAGGGTATATTGAAGTGAGAAACACAAACACATTCTCGCAAGTTCCCCTATCAGTTAGTGTGGCGTTCTGAGCTCAACGTGCTTGTTCTTAGATATAAACGGGGAAATTGAATCGTATATCATTCTTAATAGATTCTTATTCGATCTAAATTAAACAAATATAACAAATACATATTACAATACTGTCGCTAAATTACATTATTATTCAGTTTTCGTAAACTAGTGTTCTGATTGGTCGATTTGTACCACGTGACTTACTTTTACATAACAACAATGCACGGGCGTGCATTATAGCCGTGCATGAACTTTTTATCGCACTGCAAGATGGCTGCTGAGTGTGAAAAGTTTTTGCAATTGTCCTCTGAGGAAATAGAAGCGATAATTTCGGAGGCAACGGCAACAAACACAAAAAGAGCAACGGCATGGGGTATTTCGCTATTTAAAGGCGAGTTTTTGTTGTTTTTTTGTGCAGTTTACACGGTTAACGGTGACAATATGAAATGCTTGTTCTTTTATGGTTTACTCAAACTGAATATTAAAACGTTTAAAGCACTCTTTGTTCGTGCATTATCGGCATTTACAAGCACTCGTTCACGAACAAGAAACTCGAAATTTAACACTGCACTCGGCTGCGCCTCGTGCAGTGTTAAATTTCTTGTTTCTTGTTCGTGAACTCGTGCTTGTAAATCCCGATAATGCACTCCAAGAGTGCTGTAATCCTTAATTAATACATAAATAAGATAAAGTTACCTCTGTGAGGCTTCCCACGTTTACATCTGGCGTCTGATACTTATTATTTTATCTGTTTAGCAATACTGGTTAGCTTGTTTCAACTTATAAACTCTGTCTGGTTAGCGGGTAAACTTTTGTTCAGTTCTGCTCTGTTTTGTTCGGAATACTAATGTAGAGAAATGTCGAGCAAACTATACTGTTTTCTTTAAATGTAATTTGCAGTTAATATTAACTATAATTAAATTTAGTCTGTCCCCTCAGCGGAGCATCCTCCCCCCAATGAGATACTTATCTTCATTCATCATATCTTTCTGCAGGCTGGATAAACACAATCTTCGTAATCGGTCTTGAATATTCTCCTGAAGGTGTTCTTACTTTCACGTTTCTCATATTTCCATCTTGTCCTGGATAAACTTCGATTATTCTTCCAATGATCCAATTTCCTCTAACTGCATTGTTATCTGATACGATCACAAATCTCGTTGCGTTTCACTATGTTCCACTTTTTCCGCGGTTTCTAGAAGCAACGGAAATGTATCTCTATTCCAACGATTCCAAAAGTAATTAACAATCTTCTTCACGAATTCGACTCGCCGTCTGGGGTTTCTGGTTTCTTCAAATGGCCCTTGAGGTACACGAGCTGATGCCCTTCCAAGAAGCATATCATTTAGGCAAAGGTAAGATCCGTCGTCCGGGTCATTTGGGACACGACCGATGGGGCGTTGATTTACAAGGTTTGCCACTTGGAGGATACACGTATATAGTTCAAAGGGGGAGAGAGTGTGATCACCAATCTCCGTTTTCAAAGCTCGTTTGCAACTTTTGACTAGGGCTTCCGCGCAACCATTCCGGTGTGGTGCGCCTGGAGTTGTGAATTTCCATTGAATTCCTTTGCCTGCACAGTAATCGTAAAGCTCTTTCTTGTTCCATTCGCGTTTCTTTTTATATGGTTTTGTATAACCTACTAGCCAGTACTGCTGCTTGAAGTTCTATTCTCGGAATACTTAACCCCTTAAGTGGAGCGACTAGTGACTTGGCTACTACGAATTTTACTGCGACTAAACCGCTTACATTAACGCTTCTTATATATGCACAAGTTTCGAATGCACATCGGGATGCAGCAGCAATGACACAAAGAATCAGAAGCTATTCATTTTCTCAAAAATTATAACCATTGTTGCTGAAATTTAGGTGAGAGTTCATCGTCCCAATTGATACCCTTTTGCCACAATTCCTGGCAAATTAAGACGATATTAAGTCGAAATTAAGACAAAACCTAGCGTTAATTCCTTTAAGATTGCCGTTAAAAATACTTCTTAGAATCTTATAAGGGCATCGATCGCTTCGAATTATTATTGTGACGTACCATCAAGTTGTACTGTATATAATTTGTATATATAAATTTATAATCCTAAGACCTTTTACATATTTACTCTAAGTAGCCTTTAGACGTCTTAAAGTAGAATTAATAACTTTGTATGTATAATGTATATGAGGACCACAGGTTTTTCAGCTATATTGCTGTCATGTGTTTCTACCCTCTTTAAATAAAGTTGTTCATTCATTCATTCAAACTAATATATGCTTCTTGACAATCGGCTAGCCAGGCTTCTTCCTTTTCGAATTCCGCATCGTCGCCGATTAATTTAGTAAATTCTTCGTGTTTAGTTACCAAGTTTTCATACGCTTCTTGTAGCTTAGTTAGCGATTGTTTAACCTCCTCTGCTGGTCCTGTTCCTGTATTGCATGTCTTAACATTTTCCCTGCTTTAGTTAACGCTGCTTTGGCATTTCTACGACTGATCTTAGCTTCTTTTAACAACTCTGTCATTTTAGTACACTGTTCCTGTCTCGCTCGTCGCGCCCTTTTTGCGGTTTAATAACACGATATAGAAATCGAATGATGGGGTGTTCTGAGCTCAACGTGCTTGTTCTTAGATTTAAACGGGGAAATTGAATCGTATATAATTCTTAATACAAATACAGATATTTCACAGCACACTCCCTAACTGGGCTTCTCAGTGACTGGTTACATTATGAATAGATAGATAGAACCGGACAAACGTAAAGCAGACCGAGGTAGACTTTGAGCTTACAAATGGCAC